CGAGTTATAATTGACATAGAGATGTCAGAATTGATACATGATTATTTTGTCAGAGAACAATGTATTGGATTGACCGACTATGAGCATATGTCTTGGATTATTATGTGACAGTCATAACATTGCTCATGGTGATGACTATATGTATGATCCTCAGACTTGAGATCAATATTATCCCAACATATATTGTTATATGTTTTGATACAGCTAAACAAGCTCCGTAACTGGTTGATCTATAAAGACTGTTATTGAATATATCTCAATATATGTAGTGGGTGTGTATGATTAAGATAGGATTCGTCCTTCCTACATAATAGGAAATATATCACAGGCCACTTGATTGAGTAAGACTAAAAACGCATGACCATGCTCGAATAAGTTGATATGAGATATCATAAACTATTCATTAATTACAGTCTACTCTAGATATCAAGAAACAATAGATGGGCTATACAAGTATGACTATTCCAAGACTTGTGCCTATTCTAGATATAAAGGACATTAGGATGTAATACATAAAAGAGTTAATCACCAAGATGATATGTCGAATCATATTTTCTTGTAACTTAGGTGACAATGATATATGGCTAGATGTCACTCATTGTATGTAATATTAGAATTGTTCTAATAATTACTGCTAACGTTACAAGAACCTACAAGGTCACACCCTAGGATTGAAACGAGAAAAGATGTTTAATTTGTTGTACGTTACTAAAATATATATCTAGAGTTAATTAAATATATGTTTTAATAATCCCGAATATTTAATTTTAATTAATTAAATATAGATTTAATTAATTTAAAATAATAAAATCCCTAATATGATTAGGGTAACTTAGATATAAAAGGATTATTAAATTTCAATTAATTAAATATAGATTTAATTAATTTGAAATAATAAAACCTTAATATGATTAGGGTAACTTGGCTATAAAAGGGTGTGTTAGGTCTAGCAGCTTTTTAGAACACAGACACAAAACCTTTAGCCGTTTTTCTCTCAAAACTATTTTGGAGAAGAAAAATATTGCTCTCAATCGGGTGAACTAAGTAGAGGCTGAGACGTGATTTTTTGGAGGCTTACGATTTGAATCGATCTACACCACCAGTATTCACTATTGTCCTTGTCGTTTTTCAAGGAACCCGCTGTAAGTATTCACATCCCTTCCTCCCGATTTCAGTTTTTCGTACTTGGATCGCTGGTGAGACCGTCGAGTTTTGTTTTCGATGCGCCATGGGGTGCGCCGACGGTCCCAACAGAAGAAGAGGAGGAAGTCTGTCCAACTTGTCTTGAAGGTAAATCTTTTTCTCAAATTTGAGTGGTTTTTATTATAGCCACTGTATTATGAAGTGATACTTTGTTAGAACTTGCTCAATAGGCTAGATTTGCTAGAACTTTGGATGGAGGGTTGGATTCAAGTGCTAAATTTCTGCTATATCTCAACTCTAATTTGGATGCTTGTGCTGTTAATTGGATTCAGATTCTAATGAGTTGACAATTGAACAACCTTGATTAAGGGAACTTACAATTAGTTTATGATTTTAATGATAAAATAAGTCGATTTGTATAGGTGTCATTTAAGCCTCTTGGCTTCTGTTAGATTCAATTTAGCGATCCACAATTTTTTTTTCAATGCCAAAATGACCCTATTTGATTCTCATAGTTCCAGTAGTACCACCATTTCACCATCAACACTAGATTCCCTATCCCCACTATGTCATCCTTTCTCATCACTGTCATTATCCAAAAATCATGACCACCCCTTTCCATTTTCATTTTGTTCCATTTGATATACCTTTGCTAGCAAGAAAACTATAATATCAAACTCTATTCTTAGTAATATTTGAGCATTCAACAAAAAACATTGATCACAAGGAAATTGTGCATATTAACCAAAAAAATAGGTGCATGTTGTGTACACAAACTAGACTTCACTTTAGAGTTTATTATATATATATATATGTTACAAAAACTCACATATACATGTTGCACTTTACTCAAGGTAGAACTTTTCTCACGCTGTATCAAAGGCAATACAAGGGTTTAAAGGCCAAGACTCAAGAGTGCGCCTTGCACTCTTGACAAAATAGCAAGAAATTGAATCCATTTGCTTTCTTAATGAGTTTTTTTTTCTGGAAAATCAAACAATTGTAAGGAGAAGAAAAACTATAAATTTTAAGCATTGAAGATTTTGGAGCTTAATCCCAATAAACCCAAATTCACATCACACCTTCCTATTAAAATCCCTATTCATTTTAATAAAACCTCCATAAACCCATGCATCCCTATTTCCATGATTTCTTTTTTTTTTTTGGGATCAAAATCAAAAGCGATTCTAATTGCAATCGCTTAACCATTAACTTGTTAAATCTTGAACCATTTGTTCAACAAAAAACTCGTTTCTCTATTTGACAATATATATATATATATATATATTATATATATATATATATATGGAGGGGTTAATTGGGTCTAGTGAAAAGTAGAGGCTTAAATGATTTTTCTTCTATAGGTGGGGGTGCTTATTCTAATAATTATGCATGGTTTTTGCTACATCATTTATCTTAGAAACAAGAATTTCTATAAAAAAATGTACTACTAATCATTTTAGATTGGGCTTTTAATGGTTACATTAGCTTCCTTTCAATCTTATCAATGTCACCTATGTGCAGAATATACTCCAGAGAATCCCAAGATAATAACAAAATGTTCCCACCATTTCCATATTTGTTGCATTTATGAATGGAGGGAGAAGTTAAAACTATCCAGTCTGTGGCAAGGTAACTTTTTCTTGCACTGGTTAGCCCTTTCATTTCCTTTGTTACAAATAATCGATCAAGTGCATTGTGGTTGCATTTTATTCGGCTTAATTAGCTGTTTTCTTATCTTTCTAGACTTGCAATTTGCTAGGATCCTCAAAGTTTAGAGGGTTTTTTCGTTGCCTTTGATATTCTTTTCAATGTTGATGTGGTAACACTGCATGTGTTTTTCATTTCTTCGTTTATACTTGTACACATTCATGGTTGGACTTTAGTATATATACTTTTAAATTATTATGTAAATTGTGTTCTTCATATTGTGTAAAATATAAATAAAAAAATAGGTCTGGTTAGTTTGATCTATTCATCTAGCGACTTTGAAAAGTAATAACTGACTGAACTAGATGAACAAATTGTTTTCCCTAACCAATTAATACCGGAACTGAATTATCTAAATTTAACTGGTTAAAACTGATTAATGCTTCCCCTATTCCCGCTCATCCTCTTTGTTCCCTCTGCTGGTTGGTTTATATATAAATGTAGATCGGAGTCGTGTAAATATCTACTGTAAATTATTATATGTAGGAGTCATTGGTTTTGATGTAGTCTAAATCTTGTCTCATCTACAGTATCGATAGGCTTATCTATATTTTTTTTAATAATCTAAGGTGATTATGAGGTAGTATATGTTCATAATCTTTCTTAACCATTGGCAATGCACACACATCCTGCTAACGTTGCTTGCTCGAACCTAGGACCTCAAGGGAGAACAACACTTCCTTCAACCACTAAGGCCTCTCAATGGGTTCAACAGTTATAATAAATCTTAGGCTCAAAAAATTGATGTTGCTTGGTGAGCTCCGTGTTTTAGGTTATATTCTATGATGTAGATTTACTAGTAGTAGAAGTGATCCTGTTGTATCAAAAAATGAATGGGGGATATTGTTTATCACTAATCGGATGTTGAGTATGTGAGTATATTAGAGGTATTCAGAGATTATTCAACTTTGAACCTATTGAGTGGCCTTAGTGGTAAAAGGAAGTGTTATTCTCTCTGGAAGATCATGGTTCAAGCAGCTATGTCTGCAGGGTGTGTGTTGTCAATGGCTCAGAAAGATTTTGCATAGATATTACCTTGTAATCATTCCAGACTCTTTTAAAAAAAAAGATTATCCAACTTTGAATTAAGGTCATATTCATGTTAAGCGATGCAGAAAAATTGCCATCTTGCTTGATGATGTTTATGGTTCGCTTTTATTTTCCATTTTGGGAACTTACAGGCTCCTGGCTTAATTTGATCTAATGATGATAAAGTAGTGCATTGAGCTTTATACAAAAATGAGAATAGTTTGTCTACACTCTGTTGTAGCCTAAATCTCTCATCTAAACTCAACCATCTATTTTTTTTTTTTTTTTTTTTTTTTTTTTTTGCATTTCCAGGTTATGGTGTTCGATGAAATTACTTAATCTTTACTTAAAAGGTTTTGTTGTGGAAGGAAACCAGCAGATGACAGAATCCAAGAAATTAAAAGAAAATACATCTAATCTCCTTTCTAAATAGTGCAGGGAAAATGCGTTTGTCACATGCTGTAACTATGAAAATGTTGTGTATAAAGACTGTAATTTGTTACTGTTTATGAAGCTTTGAGAAAGGGAAAAGAGGGGGGAGGTTACCATTAGTATGATTGTTGGAAATCACACGAGCTGTATTGACAATAGTTTATATATCAATGGCAAGAAGTGTGGATTTGAGGAAGCTATTATATATATATATTGTTATATCAAGCAATGCCCTTTACCAAGGATGGACCAATTTATAAAAAAAAATATATACAGAAAATATTTAAAATATAAATTGAAAATTTTAGGAGTCCGACCATCCCTGCCTTTTACAATCATGTAGGACTCTGTTGTCACCATCGAGAACCACTTTCTGCAGCAGATTCTTCGAAAAGGACCTTCGACCATAACTTGCTATAGAACCAGATACACAAAAAATGCTACGCACCGAAAAGTGGGTTCGAAGTCTCTAGGAAATCGGAAGGGTCGGAAGTGCCCTAATTAATATGACGATGAAATTGAGTAATTACCCTAATTTGGGATGAAAATGGATTAAATCGTAATGTTGGTGCCTCGTCATAAACCATAAAAGATTCATAGGATTGACATTATTTTTTATTTAATATATACATGAGTTAGAATCCACTTGCATAATATAAAATTAAAAAATAGATCCAAGACCACCATAGAAAATCCAGTCTATTTATTAAATTTGAACCAAAAGCTCCAAACAATAAAATGTTGATGCTGCAGTTTACAAAGGGAAGGACGGCTAAATTCATTAAAAAGAAAAAACAGAAGTTCAGCAGTGACTTCAGGGGACAACGTTGTAGTCGGTGAAAAACATCACATAAAACTAGGACAGACCGGTCCCTTGGAGAGACCGAGACGAACTTCCATGATATGGTGCAAGTCCAGTGGCCGTACAGTCTCCGACTTTCGAGGATCTGCAACCAACCAAAACTAGTTTTAAACATCCACTAACCCACCAAATATGTACAACAAAGTTACAAGAAAAAGAGAGTATTTTGTAATTTAGCATGTATTGTCATACCATTCAGATAATCCTCAAAACCAAAATCATCTAAAGTTCCCGTCAAAGCTTCCAACCCTAGCATTGAAGATGGGAGCAATGGCCTCTGGAACCTGCATAGTTTTCAAAAGAATATACATAAAAGACAATGAGCAGTGAATTCTGATTCCAATATTGCCACTAAAGATGCCATACACCATATACATCATGGTGTAATCTTAGTTCACTCTACAGGGAAATGGAATTTTCTACTGTCTGGTCAAAATCCATAGCCTCTCTAAAACAATTAAAGAAAAACTTTAATTACTAATTAGATCTATGTTCCCAAACATAAAAGACACTAACACATGATATTGCAAATGCGTCAAGCCTATATAATATGGTTCAATAATGTGTCAAAATCAAACTTTTTATAAATATACAACACCTTAAACATGATTATAACATGGAAAAAAAATAAAACACAGTAAAATAACAAGAACACATGTACACCTGTATCAGCAGAGTTGTTGATATTTCTTCCTACGTCAAATAGAAACAGAGAAATTTTCAAAATAAAAAATAACGATGCAGGGATCTTCTATAATAAGAACCATGACACTAGTTCAATCCATTTCTTAATTTGGACATGACACAATGATATGTGCTTCTTACACATAAGTATTCTCTTCTTCATCATTTGGGTTCATTTGTTATATTATTGTCATAGTCTATTCATTCGTACCCAAAAAGCACCAAACACCTACCTTTTATAAGTGCTTAAGAGTTTGCAAGAAATCCTTGAAATAGAGAGTAGTCAAGGAGTGTGAGACCCTTGAATGACTAGAAATTGCAAAGAAATGTTAGAGGATACAAATTACTACATAAGCCTAAAAAAGATCGGATTTCTAAAAGTCATACCTCGAATAAAAGGTAAAGTTGTTAAAAAAAAGATCAAGTTTGTCTATAGAGCATTATGACAAGGAAAGCCATGAAACGAGGATAAAGGGTGTCTAAAGAAAGGGTAGAAACTCTATAAATATAATATTGTTGTTAGTTTTTAATTTCCCTACTCTTTTGCTTAATGTACTTTCCATATACACATTGTTTATATTCTTCATCAGTACTTCATTTCTAAATCTTTTTCACTTGGATGGCAATTTCGCTTATATATTTTTCAAGAACCATTCAACCCCTTTTAGTTTTCTACTTTTCTTCACCAGTTTGAGCTAAAAATAATTATTCAAGTTCTTTGTTCTTATCCTTTTCCAACTTTAATCTCCATGTTTATGCCATTAAAGAACCGGCAGTGTAAAAGCGCTCATAATTATCCATCACGTGAGACAAAAATCTAATTATGCAGACAAGCCTAAACCAAATTTGTTAAGCATCAGCAGCTCAAAATTTGAGTTAAAAGGAGCAGAAATTCCTTATGAAGACACAAGAAATTGAGGCCATACCGTGAGAGGATTTGCCTATCGAGATCCATTTTAAGTGGGAATGCTGTTCCATAAAGATTGGCCAGGCCTTTTCTCTTCATCAACTCCTCCGTTTTCTTTGCCTAAAATAAAATCCACATAAATAAATTGTATTCAAATCATACACTCAAACCCAAATTAAAAATCTTCAAAACCAAAACCCATAGATACAACGATTTTTAATTTCATAAGATCTACACAACATCATTTTTCATTTTTCAATTATAAATACCCTAACCTACTACTCTTTTTAAAAATATGTAATAAAGTCACCATGCTTAGGCGGCGTTCGAGATCTGAGAGGTGAATGCAAACAGATTTAAATGAAAACATGATCAAAAAAATAATATACAATCTAAATTCCCTTCTATATGTGTTCTAGGGAAACAAATAGGGGGAAAGATTACAGATTCACAAGCAGATTGGAGAGGGTGAGATCCGACGAGGTCGCTCTTAACGCCGTGGAGGCCAAACCGGAGAGCGTCATTCTGGACTCCTCCAATTTCATGCTGAATCGTCTTCGATGCCTCCATGTTTCTCTGTTTTGATGCTTTTCCTTTGAGATTTTTGTAGACCCTGTTCCTTAGCGCTGGGTTATTATCTTTGTAAGCAAGAAAAGGCCACTAAAGGAGATGACTCAGGGTATAAGATTGTCCTACTTAATAGTACAATCCAATCCGATCCAGTTCAAGTCCAAGTCTTTTCTATTGGGAAGAAGCCCAACTACTATAATAATTATTTTCGACATTAAAGGTGGAGGTTTTTGCGAGTCACTTCCAAATTTTCGACTCTTTCGAATGCACGGAGCGATCAGTAGTACGTGTGAGAATTATCTTTAAATAAATATTTTTTAGTGTTTATCTCATATTAGTAAAAACAATTCACCTAAATCGGGTTGTACCGAAGTATAAAGACCAATTTAATAATTGAGCATTTTCTCTCTGTTCTTACCAAGTTAATGTTAAACAATAAGAACAATGCAAATTTATTTAAATAAACTAATTTATTTAGAGTAAACTATACAAATGATTCTTATATTTTTGGTATGTTTGATTTCCGTCAACTGTTTAAAAAAAGTGATTTTGGTCCTTTACTTTATCGATTCATTTAGTTTTATTTGTTTGAGCATTAACTCTCGTTAACCCATTAACTCTTTGTTTACATTATGTCGTCGAGCCAGTGCTTGAAATATTATACTGACAAACCAATGCTTGAAAGCAATGACGATGTCAGTGGAGATCATTAAAATATAATTTTATCATACGTCAATCAGTAGCTTAATTTCTAACTCAGAAGATCGTCAACTTTTAAATGGAAAATGATGAGTTTGGAACTATGAATAGTCGAGGACAATTTTGTAACTTTTAATAGTTTGTGGGCTCAACAAAACAATACACTATAAACAAAGATTCATTTATAACTTTTAATAATTGGATGACTCAATAAAATATAACCCTATAATCAAAGTAGGGGTGAGTGTTCGATCGAGTCAAATCAAGTTAAAAAATTTCGAGTTATTTGAGTTAACGAGTTCTATTTTACAACTCAGAGTTAACTTAATTTTTTTTCGATTCAAGTCGAGTTTAAGAAATTTGAGTCGAGTATTCGAGTTTCTCTATAAATTAATATTTTTTCATTAAAAATGGCCTCATTAAAACTTTCGTCTTATCAAGTCATGACGAAGCAAAACCAAATATAACAGAATGAGGAAAAAGAATACCCAAAATATATTAATAACTAAATCGAACAATTACATAGTAGAGCTTAGAAAATCCAACATCATAAGATGATACAAAAAAAAAACAAAAACAAATAGATGATAGTCTAAAAAGTTAATTACAACAAACTACTTCTTAAGTTCTCAAATTATATTGTCAAAAATCTTAAACTTCCTCTTCTTCTTCATGTATTATCGGTGATTTTGAAAAGGCTTATTCTTTATCGACTATTTTTTTAAATCTAAAATTTTAAAAGCAGATATCAGACAGAAGTTTATGATTTTCTATTTTAACATCAATTCATCATCTATCTAATGTGCCGTTAGAATCATGTAAGATACCTTTTGCAGTGAAGTGCAAGTGTCAGTTGTCAAACAAATTCTACTCGTATCTTTTACAAAAGCATTCTTCATTAACCTCTTCATGGAGTTGAATAAATCGAGATCATCCCTTCTAATTGTAAAACAAGAAGGGAGATGAAACCTTGGGCATGTTAGAGATAGAAATAGCTTAAACCCTTATTTCTCTACAATTCAAAAAGATAGCTCATCCACGATTATCATGTGAATCAATGTCGTTTTAATAACATATTTTTCAAACTTCCAAGTTGAAAGTTTTACGCTTTAATTTTAATCTCAGTCTCAAGTATTGCTATTTTTGATTGTCTAGAATCTGAAGTATTACCTTAAGGGTTTTTAATCATGTCTTCAAATGATTAATCAAACTAATTGTAGAACCTCAATTTTCATGCAGTAAGTCGTCTCAAAATAATTGGATATTGTCCTATTTTCTCCATCTTCAGTTATATATATTTTTTGAAATAATTCCAACATGTTGCTCTTGTTTTTTGTTTCGAACACTTTTATTACTCATTGGATAATTGACTTTACATATAAAACAACTTTGTGAAGTTTGAGTTGAACTATAACCACATGGTTGTGAGCTTTGAGTCTCTTGTGATTCGCTCATCTCAAATATCATAAAAAACAAGAATTGCGATGAATTTACAAAACATAAAAGATAAAACTAGACCATATGTAACACCTCAAAATTTGGGTTGATAGTTTCAACTTTACATGAGAGGTATGTGGACCTTATAGAGTCGTGATTAAAGTCGTTATGCCAAGTTTGGGCTAAGAATTTATAAAAACAAGGATTTTTACTTATAAGATAAAAACACGAAGGACCAAAAATGCTATTAGACCCTTGTTGATGACAAAGTTGATTTTTTTGGGATTTCTATACATGGGTCATGTGGGGAAGCTTTGAAAAACTAGTGGCCTTCATCATTGTCTTCTCTCTTCATTATTTCTTCTTAATTTCTTTATCTTTTCTTCTCCACTCTTCCTCCCAAGTTATATAGCTCCAAGGTAAGATCTTTAAGCATCTTTCATGCTCCCTTTTAGTTTTAAATTTTTCATTCTTTCCAGCAACTTTGTTGGTGAATTAACTTGTTTTCATGTTTTGAGTTAGAGGAAATGGATGGTGAGCATCTTAGGTCAAAGAGAAGGTGAGAGCAAGTTTGGTTGAGCTAAATGGGCTTAATTTCAAATTCCCTAACTAAGATAGTCTATTTCTAAACCTTTGTTGTGTTTTGAACTTCCTAAACATGTTTCTTTATTAAGGATTTGGGTTTTGAGCATATTTGAGGGTTTTGAGCATATCTGAGGGTTTTGAGCATATTTGAGGGTTTTGCTTGATTTATGCCTAGATATTTTTATGGTAAAGGTAGTGTTCTTATAGTGCTAAATAACCCTAAATAAGACCCCTAAGCTTTATAAGTTAATTTGGGACCAAATTAAAGTGTTTGAGAGGATTCTCGAGTGTTTCTCGAGCCTATTTCTAGTTTTTTTGGGTTAGGGTATCGATACTTGATGAACAATAACGATATTGGATGAACTCAGTTGATTTTTGGGCATTTCATAAAAGGAGTATCGATACTCAAGGGAGGAGTATCAATGTTGCAGCCCTAGTATCGATACTGAGGGTAAATTTTGTAAACCAATAGCCATTTTTTGTACTAATACTTAAAGGGGTATCGATACTTGACCTAAAAGTATCGATACTACTCTTTTTAGATGGTTAAATTCGACTTCATTAAGGCCCGAAAGAGTTAAGGATGACCCACAATGGTGAGACTTAGTCTGTGAGAGACTTAAATGATCAAAGGTGCCTAAAACAGTCTTAGGAGTAGGTTACAACCGAAGTAATTGTATTAAAGGTAATACTTCTAAGTATCTTTAACTGAACGCATGACAAGTAATTGCAAATGATGGATTGTTTCGAAAGATGTGTCGACAAGTGAGATAATGAATGAATTAATGAGCGAGATAGAGGAAATTGAGTTTTACATGAACACCTAAAATCAAAGGTGAGCTAGTTATCCTATCTGTTCAAGGAAAAACCAATAGGAAGTGTGATGAGAACGACTAGAGAGTTGTTGTCAATAAACTATCCTCGAATCAAGTATCAGGTTAGTTACGATATACCAAGTATCAATGATCATGAATCACCTTAAGCACATAAAACACTAAAATACTATTAAGTTATTTGATAACGTTATAGGAGAGATAACAAACAAAGTAGTAGTAAGTGAGGGAGCGAGTGATCTTACCTACTAGTGTTAAAATTGATAATAATAACAATAATATATGTGTGATAACCATAAAAACAATAAGGACATCTGAGTTATTTGTGGGTGAGTGACGATCGTCCAATTGTTTGAGAAAAATTTGGATATATCCAATTCAGTGCGAGAACACTTTAAACGCTAGTTGAACGTTATACTAATGCCATGTGACCTAGACACATTTCGAGTACTTTAGAGGAGTAGACTAGAAGGATGTAGGCTACGATGATATGTGACCTCGGAGGCATCCTAGGTATTAGCAATGAGGGCCCCTTTCGAGATGAAGATTTCGATGCTAAGTGGCCCGGGTCTTATCTAGGGTATCTTTGGTAGGATAGATGGGTGTGAGTCCTGAGATACTAAGTGGCCCTCCGACTATACCACGATGCACCCTTGTTTGTGTAATTATATTTGGCATTTTTATGATATCAAGTACTATCATTGTGTGTTGCATGATATTGCATTGAAGGATGATATTGAGGTTAGAGACGTAGTATACATTTACACATGGCGAGGCCCTCAGTTGAGATTAAGAGAAGAGTGAGACTTACACTAAAGAGGTAGAACTGTTGAACCTTAATTAGATAGCACTTGATTAGGATCATGCATGCACTTGCTTATTACCTCATCTTCAAGCATACTTAGGTTAATGAGATTCATATATTGCTCTATATTAGCGATTATACCAATGGGCTTTCTAAGCTCAACGTTCGTATGTTTCCATTTGTAGGTTAGTATATTGAGTCGTTCGAGAAGCACCGTCATAGCATGATTTCCAATATCCCCGGCAAAGTATTGGTTGGTTACGCGTAGTGGGCACGTGTATTCATAGGACCCTTACTTATGTATTATGATTTACAAACTTTGAGTTGTAATAATTATTTTAAACTATACTATTAAGCTTCGATTTATAAAAAAAGATTTTATTATTATTTGAACTTTTGGTTTTTAAATGATGACTATTAGTATTGATTTAAAAAAATAGTTAGCCACTTCGGGGTTCTGTGTGAAATTTGAATCCTCCAAACTTCAGGAAGAATTTGATTAGGGTGTTACATTTAGTGGAATTAAAGCATCAAGTTGAGTCGATCTTAGGACCCATTGGTAGGGTATAGTAAGGTGTCAATGAATACATGACCCTAGGTACTGAAAGTACTCTTACAAGACTAAAATCCTGATGGTGCTTCATCTTTGTTACGGTGTTTACGGAAGTGGTGATGGTTTTGGGTTTTGAGCGTAGTCTCATTAGTAGG